TCTACCAGCACGAAATTTAGGAGGCGTTGGTTCAGCAGTTCTTTATTAAAATATATTTGTACAGTTACAAGAAAATATGCCCATGAATCAAACATATTTTGCTGTAAATGCCAATGTTTTCATCCTTACCTTTCTTTAATATGCCACTGAAGCATACAAATCCAGACAGGCTGCCTGTGTTTTTCCTGCACGTACAATAGCATTTATATGATAATCTCCTTCAGGGAGAAAAGCTGCATCTACCTCAAAATCAGTTGCTGGAAGATTGTAGGTGTTCTGAAAATAACAAATTATTTTTCTTACTGAATCCTCCAACTAAAAAATTTACAGTTGGCTAAAATTACCCAATTAACTTGAAAGTCCTATTCTGATGATCTGTCGCAAGACATTTGGACAATAAAAAAACAATTATAACAATTATAACATTAATAAAGTTTTAATACATCTTTCCACTCATTTGTCTATTTAAATCTTTTCCATGAGCCATCTTACAACAGCTATTTGCAATTGATGGTGAAATTTGAGATGAATATATATATATATTTTTATTTACCAGACTACCAGTATCCAATATTATAATATAGATATTTGACTATTTCAAGTCTAAATGCGGTGGCCGAGGGGTCTATTAAGTCGAACTACTGTACCACTAGCCTGTCAACACTGAGGTTGTAAGTTCGAATTCTGCAAATGGCAGGTGCACTCGCCTCCAATCTTAATTGACTATGAGTCATAAACACCAATCAATCAATCAAGTTTAAATGTAATCAAGTGAAATCTTAAGGCGGGAATATTTCAGCCTCAGCCTAATAAGATAATTCAATCCTAAAGATTTCATCTTTCACTTATCTTATTTCAATGCAAAAATTTCTGAAATTTGAGACTACACCACACAACTTTGCAATTTCTTTATAAGAACGGCAAAAATAACACCATATTTTCATGTTATTGATCTTCATTAAGCTTACCTTTTTAAAGGGGCATTGACATGGAATACCATGTTGAACCAGAGGATCTGGACACTGCACATCAGCAAGGATGCTGCAGACACTGTTATAGGTACAGCTACCAACCATACCTATACAGGGTATCTTAATATAGGTTGATCCTGACTTCTTATACCACGACACATCCATCTTCAAAGAAAAAAACATACTGATAAAAATACTCAATCATAAATATATGATAATGAAAATAAAAATATCTTATACATGTATTACTTTAATTTCGATTTCTCATCAGACCCCTGATTTGTGAAGGATATCAATTATGTACTCTGTTTATACAAATAAAAGATTGATATATAGATATTTGAAATTCAGGTGCAATTCGTTTGTAATGAAGATTTTGATTGGACAATGTTATATATTTTTAGATCTAATTAACAAAATGTTGAAGCTTCAGTAAACAGCACGGTTTAGTCTCACCTCAGCAACTTCATTGAGGGAAGACAAAATAGAAAGACAATAAAAAACAGTTCATTGCTATCAAACTTTAATGGAACTATAACCATGATAATACAAAATAAACTGTTGACACAATGATATGTGTCGCCTTTTTGTAATTTTGATAATGCAAATGTTGAAATTAAAATAGCAATATTTTAACATGTAAGTTATGCAAATATTAAAAGTCAATGAACCATGACTGAAGGTACATGGCTAAACAAAATCCATGGAAATGAGATGTGCCAATGCTAATACAACTGCATACCAAATACCACTGACTTATCATAAGTTGTTCCCTTTAAACAAACCTAAACACAAACATTAACTTGTAAAGCATGTAAAAGTTTCAAAGTCAATGAACCATGATGAGGGGGTGGGGCTATATAATCTCCATGGAAACAAGACTTGCAAATGCCAATGCATACCAAATATCATTGACTTATCATTAGCGGTTCATCTTAAACTGATCTAATCACAAACTAATATATGTAAACTAAGCAAAAGTTTCAAAATCAATAGACCATGACTGAGGGGGTGGAGCCAAATAATCTCCATGGAAATAAGATATCCCAATGCTTATACAACTGCATACCAAATATCATTGACCTACCACTAGTGGTTCCCCATAAACTGACCTAATCACAAACTAATACATGTACACTAAGCAAAGTTTCAAAGTCAATAGACCATGACTGAGGGGACAGGGCCAAAAAATCTCCATGGAAATGAGATGTAACAATGCTAATACAACTGTATACCAAATATCAATGACCTACCACTAGTGGTTCACCATAAACTAGACCTAATCACAAACTAATACATTGTTGACACAGCAGCCGCTGCCAGAAACAGCATACCTATGTCTCGCTTTTTGACTCCGACAAGGCGAGACAATATAACACTGTTTTTTGGTTTTTTTCACACATCGCTTGGTATCTACATGTATTGTCAATCATTAAATTAAATATTTTCAAAAGTCTTTTCCACAAAAATTACTTTAGACAGTTGCTATCAAACATAATATGATTATCTTTAAGGATGACCTCATGACTTATTTGCCCATTGACCAGCCAAAATAGTTCTCATAAAAAGAAAATGGAGGTAAACAGGGTAAAATGACCAAGCATCCTTAGTGAAATAATAAATATTTATTAATATTCCCTCTGTTTTGATTTTGATGATATATATAAATGTTATAACAAACTTTATACTCTAAATGTATGCTCTATTTTCAATATACTATTCCAATATGTCCAATATCACAGTACAGAACGGTAAAAGTAACAGACTTTCTTATGTTAACACAAACACAAAAAAATTCAACCAGAATTAAATAAATAGGATACAAATTGCAAATTATATCATAGTAAAAATCAAACATTATAGGGTCAAGCATGAATAAGCACTTCTTTTTGAAGTTTCTCCACTAGTAGTACTTCTCCCTATGATTCTGAAGTAATGTGAGCTCTCAAATTAAAAAAAAGTTTTAGGCTCATGTTTTATATATCTACATCTATGTATATACAAGTCTAAATTGTAAAAAACATTCAAACCTATGTTTGCGTTAGATAAAAACTGCAATTTTTATATGTGTGCATGCAAAAAAAAATTTCTTAGTAGAGGGGTCTAATACAGCACAAAAAGTGAAAAAGTATATTTTAACAAAACGCATTTGACTAGCAGGTCAAACAATGGATGTCCTTAAACCCATCTATGTATATATATATATACATGAAATATGTACATTTATACATGTATATTCATACAATTATTAAAACTAAATAAGTAGGTACAAGTACATAGAAAAGTTGCAAACAAAGTAAAGTCTTCTGATTAGCTAAAATGAAGAACATCTATGGTAGTCCCAAAGCAAGATGTGAAAGATGTAAAAGCAGAAGGAAGAAGAGATACAGAGGGCACATGCTCACCTTTCAACTTGTACATCTTTCTTGCTCTTCTTTAACCTCATGCATTCTGACGGTCACGTTATTTTTCACAGCATTCAAAAATAATGTTCCGTACATGTATTTCTATTTCTTTTTATGCAAACTTTTGTTTTTTTCTGAGTACATTTATGTACATTCAGAATCATATATTGATTGAATGAACTTTTTTTAACTACACTGCATGTAGAATTGTCAAATAACATGTACATGTATCAGTGTAGGCTTCCCCAGATGGTCATTTGGAAAACTTAAATATGATTCATAAATTATTTGATTTAAACACTCCCTTATGCAGCAAGTAGCTTTTTCAGGTCACAATGAAGAGCAAGGGAAATAAGCATATATATATATAAAATTGTTAATTGCTTCAAAATGCAAACATTCTCAGCTTTAGGGAGTTTTGTTAAAAGAACATTCCTCATTGAAGTAAAAACAACAGAAGTGGATATATCTTATCAAAGAAATAATAAGACAATGTTAACCCTAAAAGTAAAAAAAAATAAAATATGTGTTTGTGTGCATATTGCTCTTTATCACAGGAAACCAGTTATGTTTCTCAGGAAGACATACAATGTATAAATCATCATCTAAGAGGTCAAATTTCAATTTTACATTCTCTAGAAAGGACCAAAAACTTTTTTTCTATTGTCAGGCTTTTTATTTTCATACTGAGGTCATCAATTATGTAAATGTAGATGAGCAGCTCAAGCCAACATTTGTATAGTAAATGCAAGTGAAAAGAATTATCCATGAAAAGAAGTCACAATTATTTATGTACATATATATCATGCTTATTTCTTCATTTTCATATCTTTATCATCAGATTATATCCTAAAAATCTTAGAATGATTGTAATTGGACAGATTTACAATGCAGTACCTTTCAAAGCACTGAATCTTTACTGTTGGCAAATAAGAATAAGATCAAAATCAATTGAGATCACTAATGAACTTTATATACAGTACCTTCCAATGAGATACAATGTATCAATTGCATCTGTCAGAATGCTTATAACCTTCTAAACACCTGCTAAATACTATAATCAAATTTAGCTGGTAAAATAGCAGGGAAAAAGATACAAGTGAACCCTCTAGGAAAACATAGATAGGAAAGGAGGAATGTGTGTATGGCAGGATATTCTCAAAATGTCATATAATTACATGTACCTGAGAGGCACAACATGTATTTATAATAGTAATTGGCTGATTCTATTCAAGACATGCTGATACATGAAATATTTAAGTGACCAAGCCTTAAAATCCTAAAGATTTATCTCAGTTGTTCAAGTCTGCAGTCAAGACTGGCAAATATGACAGTTTCTTGACCAATGATAATAAATTTGGTACACATGTAATTTTACCATAATTATTTAAACTTATCAGACATCTCAGACAGTGCTTTCTGGAATGCACATGAATTATAAAGATGATTTTACTAGCCTTTATCATATAGCAGAAGATACAATCTTGCAAAATGAAACATTGTGTAATACATCATATATAAGTGACAGCATCAACTGAGAGTATGATAGTACATGTAAATGTAATTTATGTATATATATGTACAGAGTGATTCAGTATTAAATCTGTAGATTAAATATAATTACCGCTAAAGGTCTATCTAATGTTGTGTTGAGTGTAAATCCTACAGATACGGTGATGGTTCCTGGAAACTGTATAGGATCTGGGGATATGTTCAGAGTGGAAATCTTGCCTGCTGCACTTCCACAGTCTTTCCATTTAAATCCATTAATTTGGCCTCTTAATCCACTAGTCTTCATCTACAAAATCATTTAAATAATGATAAATTGCTATAGGCTAACAATAATTGCAACAAGTCACATTTTTGATAACTCAACAATATGAATAGTCATTAGCAAATAAGAAGATGTACATATATATATATACATGTATGTAATGAACATATTTTTTTCAATTTCATAGTGTTACAGGACTGGAAATATACACACACAGGTTATTATTAAACAAATGTTGTTTATACATGTAGCACTCTATTTGTATTGTATGACTGAAACATTAAACAATGGAGTTTCAACTAAAACAAATAAACTGCTTCACAGAGTGCAGCTGGATATGACCGCAGAGGTCCAACCCTGAACAGTTGGGGCAAAAATGGACACAATATTCAAGCTTGAAACAGGTCTGAATTTGGATTGTAATTAAAAATTTGACACATTATAGGTTTCTGACACAGAATAAATGTAGTCAAAGAACTTGAAATTGGTTATATGATTTGAATTTATATTCAATTGAAAATTTCTTGCTTTTGCTTTTGTGCAATACACTGTGCTGTTGAGCAATACTTAGTAAATCTGTTTTCAGACTATATACAAAGAATTAGCAAAATAAAATTGTGACCCCAAATTTTTCTTTGGAAAATTGACAATGTCTTAAATCTTGAGGGAAAAAAGTGCCCCCCCCCCCCCAAACCAATTTTTTTTTCTCTCCTCCCCCCTTTTTTCCAAAAATTAATATTTTAAGAAAATTTACTTTTTAATTTCTTAAATCATGTGAAAAAAAAGTGCCCCCCCCCCAAAATTTGTTTTACCCTCCCCCCCCCCCCCCCCTTTTTCTTAAAAAAATAACATTTGAAGAAATTTTCTTTTTGTAAAATGTGGTACAATTTAAGAGACATCAATACACTTAAACACAAGTTATCGTCTGAAAACTAGAAAAATGCTTGTTTTAGACCCTTTTTGGCCCCTTATTCCTGTACAGTTTGGGCAATTACCCCAAAAATGAATCCCAACCTTTTACTTGTGGTATTGAACCTTTTGGTACAATTTCAGAGCAATCAAAATACTTATACACAAGTTATTGTCCTGAAACTAGAAAAATGCATGTTTCGGGCCCCTTTTTGGCCCCTAATTCCTAACCGGTTGGGACCATCACCCCCAAAAACAATCCCAACCTTCCTTTTGTGGTATTGAACCTTTTGATTAAATTTCATAGAGTTCCATAAACTTAAACTAAAGGTATTGTCCGGAATGCCTTCGGTCGACGACGAAGTGATAGCAATATACAACCCCAAAATTTTTTTGCGGTGGTATAAAAACTATTTCTCAATTACTGACATATCTGAACTTGAAAAATATTTGATGTTTAGATATGACAGCAAACAAATTTAAACAGCTAAGACTTGCAGTCAGGGGTAATACTTATACAAGTCATGTTTATTGACTTGAAGATGCAAGTAATATACACTTCTTTGTAAGATTTTTGTTTCATTTTTAAGGATTAAATAATCTACCCTTAATATTCTTTACAACTTCTTAACAGTTTGAATTTTCCTAACTTTGTGTCTCAACAGCCTGATCAGTCTGAATGCATTCTGATATTGTCTGAAAACATGCTAACTTTATTTGAAAAGTCTAGATAGTACATCCTGAACTTTCTAAATGCATTCTGTAGTCTAAAACATTGAATGATTTTCTCTGCTGGGACTTTCTAGAATTCATTTTCATATGTCAGAAACAATTAGAGGAAAACAACTAGCATGGTATCTATCAACTATGTAAAATTCCTATGACTATTTTATTAATTCAGATTTAAGAATTGAATTATAATAATCATTCTATAGTGTTTTATGAATAAACAGTACATATTACAAGAAAATGTAAACATGCTGGTTGTAAAAAAACAAACAATTTCCTTCCTTTTTTTCTTATAAATGTAAAAAATGTACATGATGAACTAAAACGTTATATTTATAATTTCATATATGCTTTTCTATCTTTACAGCTGTTTATTTAACTAATCAATAAACAAGATTTCTTCAACACCAGTATGTAGGTTGGTCATGTTTATTAAATTGATAAATATTTGTTCTTTTTTTATATATGTATGTATTAAGAATTCACCAAAAAATCCCAATGGTACAATTTACAAATTTGTGAAAATCAATGTATAACAATAATACACATGACAGTTTATATATAAATCTTTCTTTCTTCAATGGAATAATATCAGATTACATGTACATGACAATTTCATGTGAGGTGTATTATCAGCCAATAGTTATGATACTTGTATTGATCCATCAAAGAGCCAGACATGAAAGCATCATGTTAAAATATTTTTATCATATACTTCCATGTAGACCAAATAGCATTGTATAAAAAAAATATGATACAGTGAATCCATTGATCAGTCAAATTATGATTTTTTTTAAATTTTAGATGCTATTTCTTGGTCTTGATGATTATTTAGCTTCTGTCCAAGTGACATAACAATCCATGAATGATAATAAATTTATCATGTAGAAAAAATGTAATCCCAGACCATGCAGACTGTCTGTAAATGTTAACAGCAAAAACAATGAGTCCATCTATCAGTAAAATACTGAAAATGAACAAAGAATATATCAACATGATCAACTTCTGTCAAAGTTTCAGGTTTTGACAAAGTTATTGATGTGTAACAATATTTTACCCCAGACTACATTTGTACATATCTTATTGTTTTCTTCAAAAAAACTAAATCCTTTTATCAGTAAATAAAATGCTCCGCTGGGGAGCAGCTTGATACGACCGCAGAGGTCGAACCCTGAACAGTTGGGGCAAGTATGGACACAACATTCAAGCTTGATACAGCACTGAATTTGGATTGTAATTAAATATTTGACACAGCATAGGTTTCTGACACAGAATGAATGTGGTCTAAGAACTTAAAAATTCTTTAATTTACCTAATCAAACCATATCATTATTATTTGCTTTTATATATAAATCAGAAATAACCAATTTAAAATGGAAAATTTTAAAGAAAAAAAAGGAAAAAAAATCCCCCCCCCCCCAAATTTTTTGAACCCCCTTATGATTCATCACCCCCAAACTCAATCCCAGCCTTCCCTTTGTGGTATGGTACCTTGCAGTACAATTTCAGAGAGATCCAAACACTTGAACACAAGTTATTGTCTGGAAACTAGAAAAATGCTTGTTTTTTGGCCCCTTTTTGGCCCCAAATTCCTAAACGTTTAGGGCAATTACCCCTAAACTCAAACCCAGCTTTTCCTATGTGATATGGAACCTTGTAGTACAATTTCATAAAGATCAATACACTTACACACAAGTTATTGTCCTGAAACTAGAAAAATGCTTGTTTTTTGCCCCTTTTTGGCCCCTAATTCCTAAAATTTGGAGGCAATTACCCCCAAAATCAATCCCAGCATTTCCTTTGTGATATGAAACCTTGTGGTACAATGTCAGAGAGATCCATACACTTACACACAAGTTATTGTAATGAAACTAGAAAAATGCTCGTTTTTGCCCCTTTTTGGCCCCTAATTCCTAAAATTTGGAAGCAATTACCCCCAAAATTAATCCCAGCATTCCCTTTGTGATATGGAACCTTGTGGTACAATGTCAGAGAGATCCATACACTAACAAACAAGTTATGTCTTGAAGTTACAAAAATGCTTATTTTTGGCCCCTAATTCCTTAACTGATGGTACCATAACCCCCAAAATCAATCCCCACCTTCCTTTTGTGGTATTGAACCTTATGGTAAAATTTCATAGAGATCCATTCACTTAAACTAAAGTTAAAGTGCGAAAACCAATGTGTCTTTGGACGACGATGACGCCAACGTCATACCAATATACGACTGCAAAAAAAATTGCGGTCATATAAAAAGAGAATAAACTGTTGACACAGAGATATCGCCTATCTGCATAAAATTCAGAAAAAGACAATCTGATGGACAGCAACATGGTTTATTAATTTAGTCGCTGGAACAATATCCAATGGACAGGGCCTGAAAATAATCGTCAAACTGATGTACTGATATATTGCAACTTTATACAAAATATCATTGATCTATCACAAGTAGTTCTTATCAAACTGACTTAAGCAGAAAACTTAACATTGAAAATTGCTAATTATTTCAAAGTCACTGGACCATCATGACCTAGTGGGGCAGGGCCTCAAAAATAGTTGTCAAACTGATATGAACTGATAGTAAGGCCAAATAAAAATGTATGTGTGGTTCAAGTTAAACGACCCTAGTTTAAACCTTGACCCTAGAACTTTTTTTCTATATCTGAAAAAATGAATTTTGAACAATCCCATTTTGACATGTTTGAGGAATGTGATTTTCAACAATTAAATTCACAAACTTCTGTCATCTGATTTTCCATTAGAAGTATCCACTATCATGACTATAGTTAAAAATGCAACTTATTCTTAACAGAATGCAACAAAATTAACTAAAAAGCAGATAACTTAACATTGAAAATTGCTAATTAATTCCGTCACTGGACCATGTCCTAGGGGGCAGGGCTTCAAAATAGTCTTCAAACTGATATCTACTGATAGATGATCTATCACAAGTAGTTCCTATCAAACTAACTTAAGCAGAAAACTTTACAATTGTTGACACTGAGCCATCGCCCGAAAAGCAATCCCTATGTCTCGCTTTCCGTGACTTTTGTCGCAGGCGAGACAAAAATGAAAACAAATATTATCAAAATTTGGCTCTGGATACAGCCTTTTTTGGTCATAGAAATCAGTCTTAATTTCATTAAATCCAATGAACATGATGAAGGTTTAACAAAGTTATCAATGACTGAATAACTTTTACCTAATACTGTATCTAAATGTTAACTGTAAAAAACTAATTCCATTTATCATGTTAAAACGTTTAAAGCCGCAGCATTTGTTTGCACCTGTCCTAAGTCAGGAGCCTGTTCAGTGGTTGTCGTTTCTTGATGTGGTTCTTAAGTGTTTCTCGTTTTTTATATAGATTAGACCGTTGGTTTTCCTGTTTGAATTGTTTTACACTAGTCATTTTGGGGCCCTTTATAGCTTGCTTTTCGGTGTGAGCCAAGGCTCTGTGTTGAAGGCCGTATTTTTACCTATATAATTGTTTACTTTTTACTCATTGTGACTTTGATGGAGAGTTGTCTCATTGGCACTCATACCACATCTTATTTCTATTATAAGTAAAATATGGAAAAATGAAAATAATTTCAAAGTTTTGCTCTCTTGAAATTATCTTTTGGTCATAAAAAAAAAGCTTCTGTCCAAAAAAAACATTTTGTGACATAAATTTTGCAGGCTTGACAAAAATCTATTATCATACTGTACAAATTATATGTTATTTACATTTAAAACCATGTTAAGTATAATATGATAAACTGTTTTATCTTTTATCATGTTTATCTACATTTGTTAAAATTGTTATCTAACTTCTGTTTATTACTTATAATCTAAACTCTGACCATTACCTAATAAAGGTCAACATACTGAGTGTGAACTCATCTTATTTCATAACTGCATGAAATACATAAAACTCATGTTCACTTATCAGTTAAAAAAATACAACATTCCTGAGATTCCCTAAAAAAACTTTTTCCTAAGAGTTATTGAAAACCAGTTTTTTAGGGAATATCATTGCAACATATGGCAGATGCAAAAAAACAGTAATAATATGTAAAATGATTTATTCAACAAAAAGTTATCACACAGTTTAAGTCATATCCGGAATTTTAAGACAAATTAAAAATGTTAAGATTATGTTGAGACAATTAGTAATAATAAAGACTGTTAAGCATTAAATTTAGATAAAATTAGACATTACTCAGAATCTAGTGACTTTGTAGTGATTGTTCATTATTCATGTTATTCTAATATGACGTTCTTCTTTCGCTTTGGAAACAAAGCCATGTTCTAATTACAATAACTTGATTGACTTCACAATTGAAATAGCAACGTCAGTTGTATTTTGAACAACGCTAAAGAACAACATGAACAAAATGGACATTTGTGTTGGTTTATCTCGCTAGGAAATTAAATAAAATCATTCTAAAAGTAAGTTTAAATCTATTCATTTTTTATCGTGAAACGGTTGATTTTCTATATCATTTTGGCTGCATAAAATCATAATGGCTGCCTTACGGACTTGTATTATAGGCTTCTTCAAAGTACAAAATATAATGCCTTCCCTGGTAAAAATGAGCATAGAGCATGGCATGAAAGAATTATAATAATTTCTTAAATTACAAACTTCAAAGCAGTACAGACCGACACAGCAGTAGTATATGATGTGTATCAGATATGTAAATATTATTACATTTCAGCAACCTTCTTACACTTTTTGAAGAGTAATTACTTTCAGGATTATTTAAAGAGCACATGAATTTACTCTGATTTTGATATGGCATTAAAGTCATGAAAGTGTTGCTCAAATTTTAAACTGAAATAATTTGCGTGCGTTGTGTGAACTGTTCTTTTTGACAACCGCGTTGTCAGTCTTTATAATCATTCAATTTCTTGTGTTTTTATTATCCTCTTGCTAGGGCCTGTAGGTGGCCACTATAACTAAGGATATCCAGGAACATATATATTGAGGTATACTGTTCCCAGGGATATCATATGTTCTGTGGTAACCTTTTTTTACTTTTAGTGAAGGTTACCATTAAATTTCTTACCAATTGATTAATCATACTCTGCTTGAAACCTTTGTTCTGAGACATGTGATACTGCATCAAAAGTTGGCCGACATTGTCAGTGAAGCGATTTTTAGATGATTTTAGTACTTCTTTGCCAAAGCCGTCAATCTTAGGAATTTCAAAGTTAAATACATTTGGCAATGCCTGTGTAATTGACACCAACAGTACAACTGAGAACGAAATCAGTGTCTTCCTCATTGTGTCGGGCTTTGTCTACGTCAAAGTTACAGCTTCAGTCTCAACAGAATCTTCGCTTGGCTAGGCCGCTCGCTGATCACAAGACTTTATCACGTGATTTTCTAAAAGTATGACCAACATACGGAGATCCCAGATTTGGAATCCGGTCATGCCTTGGTACTTATACAAGGATTTGCATAATATACAAATCCTTGGTACTTATAACTAGAATATTTTGTTTATATTTTTTCTTGATTAAAATGTGTTTACCACTATTTTCAAATATTTCAACTTGGCTGATCGACACCCTTATTGAAAGGCTCAATCAGATTCAATTTGTTGCAAGATATAGAAAACATTTTGATCATAAATCTGGGACTATTATACTAACAAATTATGGGACTGTCCCAGATTAAACATTCTAATAAGTCATCAGATCATAAATCAGATGGAAAACTTTTAGTCATTTCTATCGATACGATGATCGGAATAATAGGTTAAAATAACAAACACTAAACTGATAAAGCTAAACTTTATAATTGTATAGACCACTGACATACAGTGATAACATTAGATTAGTTTAATCGGAGACATCTAAATACATATAGATCTATGTAATATATGTCTCTGGTAATCAGTAGGTTGGGTGCAATTGTACCGTCATGCTTACATTGCATCTTGCATTTGTCTTGCTGGAAAGACGTTTTTCACAGAATAAGTATTATCAGGAAAATCTGACAATCGATTTATCGGATTTTATTCGTGTCATTTTCATGATAGAAACAACCGTTTGCTTTGTTTTACTAGCAAACAGGAAGAGGACTTATCAACGTCGGTTCAAACCTTCATAAGAAACTAAGGTTTCAACTCACTCAGGCAAAGTCGTCCTTAGATGAATGAGGGGCCTGATGGGTTATTTTCGTTCTTCGTGATCGGCGCATTTTCGCAATCGTGATCCGTTTTCCTACAGATTTATTTTTTTTTATATTTTCGTGATCCGTGATCATGGAAATTTATTTTCTGTGAATCGTGATTGACAAAAAAATCAACTCGTGAATCGTGATGAGACCCCCCCCCCCCATCAGGCCCCTCATGAATTTTACTATTCCTTTTCTGTCCCTTTTGGTAAAATAGCTCTTAAATTTTTTACGTATGCATACATCCCTGGCGTACAAATGTTAAGGGCGAGCGTTCCTAATAAAGGTAAATCCAGAAAAACGTAAAAGTTAAAAGGCCGGGTAAACATATATTCGACTCAACAAAGCCGTGATATGGCAATTTTATAAAGCGTTGAGCTGAGTCACACGGACAGTGCGAAGACCGCTAAGTTTTTCACATATTATCCACATCAATCCAATCTATGACTTATATATTCCAGCTGATGTCCTTTAAATTTATATAACTGAGATAAAAATATAAAATTTGATAAATTATATCTGTATTTCAACATTTTATAATCAGCATTTTAAACAGTATTAGAATAATCATGTACAAAGCACAACTGTTTGTTTTAGTTTTTACTGTTTGTAGCACCTTTTCTGCTGCAAGAGTTTTGAAAGTACAGATACATGACCAGAATGACAAAGTTGTTCAGTTTACTGTAAGTAAATTATATTTTGTTTTATATCCCTTAACAACAATTCGAAAATAGTGCAACATGCTGCATTTTAACACCTTGATTTAAACCAAACACGTGGAACGTTGCATATAAGTTGATTGACTGATTGTTGGTTGCTTAACGTCCCGTGGCAAATATGGGATGCATGTTCGGGACGATCATGAGATTGATATTCTTTAATTAGTTTTAGTTCATTCATTACTCTCCATTTTATTCCTCATTGTTATATGAATTTATAATCATTTTCTTTTTTCTTTTAACAGATGAACAAAGTAGAGAGTTTTACATGGAAGTCATGTGGAGGAAACGGTTTTGGAGTTACTGATCTTTCATTAACTCCTGATCCCCTTGAGTTTCCGGGTACTTTACATCTTGCCATGAAAGCATATTTCAATACTACTATTCAAGCTCCACTGCCGGTAAGTATATTTCATTTATTAAGATTAAAGCCAATTTCTTCCGAATTTTATTTCAAGGCACACTCGTTACAAAGAGTATACTGTATTTCTGGACATGTTTTCTGTTAAAAGGTGACTCAAAACTTCAATTTTGAGAAAGTGTGGCAAATTTGAATATTTTTAAAAGAATGACATTCTTAACGGCCCAAACCAAAAATTTTTTTTACGTAAAGCTATGTATTGTTTTTCAGATACAAATCCATGCCGGTGTGAATTTGTAACTGAAATGGGTGTCCTTTGACATGCTTGGCGCAAGGACATGGATGTTCTTCTGATTCGGGAACTTCAATGAGCTTAGATTTATACATTCTATTTAATACCACATATTAATCGACGTGAAATAAAAATGCAAAATACAAAAAATGCATGATTTCATAATTATTGTTTTGACAGCTTATTATTATAAGCGATTCTTAATATTGATTTTGTTCATGTTGTCAGATGCGGATCCGGAATTTTGAAAAAAGGAGGGGACAGGGGCAAACTAGGCAAAGATTTGAGTGGAACAGGTTAAAAGTCTGGATTTACCATAATTGTAGCTCCATAAAGGAGGGAGGTATACCCCCCATCCTAAATCCGCCTATGGTTGTATCGATAATTTTAACACTTTTAACTTATAATTACAGACTACTCTTTTAATAGAAAAGGAGGTTGCCGGAAAATATATAAAGATTCCCTGTATCGATAGCTTTGGTTCTTGCAGTTATGATGACCTTTGTGAACTACTAGATGAAGCCAGTTGTCCAGACCCACTTGTAAAGGCTGGCATTCCGTGTCAATGCCCATTCAAACCGGTGAGGAATTCAAGACGAAAATAAGCTAATATATGGCAAATATATGGCAAATATATGGCAAATATATGGCAAATATAACAGATGTTGTTAAATATATTTTGTATGCCAAAACAAACTACATACGCTAGTTGTCACCAAACAAAATATTAGACTAATAGTTCATGAACGCAAACAAACAACAACAAAAAAATGCATTTCACGCTAAACAACATAACTTAAAGGCACCCACCTTTGATCTTTTGTTGGGACATAGATTTTTAATAGCGACAAACAGTTGGTTTAAATCACATACAGAAACAGTATATTAAATCAATGGGTTTTTTTTTTGTTTTTGTTTTACAAATTTCAAATGAAAACAACTACTTCCTTCTAAAACAAATTATTTGTTTTTCAAGAAATATAGAATCAAACAATTGACTTAAAAACATGTCACCCTCACAAAAGGTAAATGTTCGGTACATTTGTAAAAAGGCACAAATGTTGAAGGGGTTAAACCGCTATTGTTACTCGGTTGTATCCATTACGTATACGGATACAACCTTGTTACAATTACTGCTTTGTATTCCCAAATGGAAACTTATAACAGTCTGTACAAATATGAGCTCTTGCTGTAGACGAATCATGCATCTCGAGACGATTTATAGAAATATAGAAATAATAAATTATTTACATAATGGATACTATAAATAGAATTTATACAACCAGAGATATAATTTACTTCTATCATTCAGGCTCAGTACACCCTTCCCACATCAGATTTTGACGTGGAGACATCATTTTTCCCGTCCGGTGGTTACCATATGAAAGGCAGTATTAGCATGAATGGTAAACTGGAAGGATGTTTGGAGATATTTTTCAGTGTCGCATAAAATGACCCACGGATATATTTTTAAGGTGATTATCAATGCACCAAGAAACTTCATAGATGGAAGATTTTTTTTATTTGGATAAATAGTCAATATATAAAGTGAATAAATAATGAATGTGATTATTCATAAATAAAGGGCTAAACAGATATATTTAAACTATTCATATTTGTGAACAAATAATAATGAAAGTATTATCACAATTTTTGTAATTTTCATTATCATTATTATTTTCAGAATTAAGTATTGCAAGAAAGGTAGATTATCACGCACAGAAAGCAACAGTATATATGGAAAACTGATTTATACATACTGAATACACAAAATCATGAAAATAGACAAACTACAATTTTTACCTCTTCAAATGTAAGGAAATACATTTCAAATAAATGAACAGATCTTTTATGTTTGAGTCATCCAGGCTCAGTACATCCTACCAACATCATATTGTGACGTGGACACATCATTTTCCCCGTCGGTGGTTAACAAATTAAAAGCAAAGGAACAACACCTTTTTTTGTTGTTCTTCATCTCAAAATGGTAATGAGCCCTGCAACACAGAGCAAAAGCTCACACCCCACAGCATGGCCAAAATTACCCTTAACGTTGTGCTTAAGATGCTTTAGTTGGTGTTCTATGTACCGATCTGATCAGAGTTGTTCGTTATCTTAACATATATTTTTTCACCACTCAGAATGGACCAAGATATAACATTTATATCGTAAAATATTTACCGCATATTCTAAATGACATTTGCCAGTGTCGTGAATGGTATTGATATACGTAAGAATATTCACACGGTAAAATTGAATACATGCGATTATAAAGAGAGTTGGGATACACTTGATTGTTTATTATAAAATAGTTAGGTTCTGCAAAGTTGGTTAACCTAGATGAAGGGCGGACAGTTGAGACTGCCTCTGGGAACATACATTGTAGGATATGTGAAGAAACTTTGCCATGCAATAGGTCAACTATGAGTACGTGTTGATGTAAGGTTTCCTTAAGGGCATCCGATACAGTTTCTCGATATAATGTCATTTTTATAATTTTTAAATATGTTGTAGGCCTTGGCGAGTTATTAAATAAAACACAAAATAAAACATAGGTCACCATGCTTGTTTTCGAGAAAATTGAGGCTGAAAATTGGGGATTTGTGCAATTTTGTAAAAAAGTTAGACAATGTTATAAAATTTTTTGAGCAGATATTCTTCGTCGTAAATTATTAAGATCGGGTTCAATTTGAAGCTGTGATAAGACACAATAAGGAAAAAAATAAATCCCTACACGAATGACTATACAATTATGCAAGCCTTGCTTGACATTGTGGACCAGATGCTCAAAGTGGTATTTTTTTAACCTAAAAATAGGAAAATAAAGTGTCATTTTTATCATTTTTTTACATAAACTGCATTTTGTCATGCTTTCTCCAAATCTCAAATAAAAAATATATGTCACCGTGCTGGATTCCATGATAAACGCGAGTTATCCTTGAAATTGAGTCCCCCCTTTGGAACCTCAACGTTAGCGCTAAAATGCACGACGTCGCTGGCAGACAATTTCGACGTTATCTCTGCAAGTTACCGGCGACATTTTTTAGATGTATAAATATTGCTTGTAAACAGCTACCTATAAGTTGGTCAAATTGTTTTCGGAAATAAAATCATGTGAATTAAATACCTGTCTCTGTTTGTGGTCTAAGTGAGAAACATCGCAAGAAAAGTTATTACGGACTGTTGATAATTTTACGCGGCTTTTAGAATTAAAGACTCGGCAATTTAGAACTTGACATAAAGGTACATGTACTGTACATACTCGTGTATTATTTTTTACAATATGTTGACCTCTAGATGTTGTTTTTTGTTTTGTTTTGTTTGGTGGGCTGCTGTTTCATTACAATACTCCTTAAAATCCTTTTATTCACGTTTTAATCACTTTTTAGAATTTCACATTTATTCATAAAATTAAACTTTTATTAGGGTCAACGATTGCAACTGAATAAAATTTATAGGCTTCTGAACAGTTTTAAAGTTCACTTGATATACTTATTTTCACTGGATCACAGCACAAAGGTTACTTACATGAGGTCTTTTCCTGCAAACGGAACTTCTTTTTTGTACATTAATTAGGCCGCTAGTTTTCTCGTCTGAATTGTTTTACATTGTCATTTCGGGGCCTTCTATAGCTGACTATGCGGTATGGGCTTTGCTCATTGTTGAAGACTGTACGATGACCTATAGTTGTTAATTTCTGTGTCATGTTTGTCTCTTGTGGAGAGTTGTCTTATCCGCAATTACACCACATCTTCTTTTTTTATGTTGTCAGAAAACAAAAACAAAATCTTATAAAGGAGAATCTTCAATTTGCTAAAGGATGCTTTTGTCCAGACAGAGAAACTAAACCATAATTTTGAAATTTTTGATTTGGCAAAACGATTGAATTAATAGCGAAAGGACTGGACATATTACCTATTCCCCCACCCACCCCCAGCTTTGGGTTTGTTTCTGTTCCTCTCCCAACTTTCTTCACTATACCCACCTAAATTACGATTGCAAAGCAAGTCAGTGGCGGATCCAGAAATTTTCATAAGTGGAGGCCCACTGACTGCATAAGAGGGGGCCCGCTCTCGTCACGCTTCAGTGATTATCTATATAACCAACCAAAATTTTTCCTCAAAAGGGGGGCCTGAGCCTCCCCCTAAATCCGCCTCTGCACGTCACTTTTATAATCTTGTACTATTATATACTTTCTCTTCAGTTTTTAATGCTGTTTTTTTAGGGGAAAGAGGGGAGAGAGTGGGAGAGGGTGGCAAGTTGCGATTAAAATCCAAATACTTCTCTCATAGCGTTATTTTATTGGTAAATAACTATATATATTTTTTCACCACAGCGCGACGCATTGTGGGGTACATAAAATATCACACGCCCATTCCTCTGTCTGTCCTTTATGTCCTTCTGTTTAATAGATTTTTCAAGTGTACAATTCTAGCCAAATTTTTATAAAACTAATATCGTATGGACACGTTCGAAAATCAGTGCATATCAACTATTCTTTAAAAGAGTTATGCCATTTGGAAATATTAATTATATTTGAAATTGCATTGTATTTGATGTCAATCCGTCATTTCTCTAATATATTTGTAAAAAAAAATAAAGAACAAAATAAACAGCTGCACTACGAGCGCATGATACGCCCATCGTCTTATGAAAAAAACCCATAATAAATGTTTTTAAAATAACACGGGGGTTGTACAGGAATTCATGCTAAGTATATCCTGACTCATTCCTTATTCTTTCTCAATAGGAAGTTTATATATCACATCATATGTTATATGATATCAAATTGAAGCTCAATAAAAGTTCAAGAATTCAAAAATGAATTAAAGAATCATCACGAAAAAGTATATATACAGATCTTTAGATTAATTTAAGTAACAAGGATGTCAAGTTTTATGTAATAATTATTTATAGTTTCTGAGATACGACGCGACATGTGAAAACCCCCTCTTTTTTTCATAAACTCAATAACTATAAAATAAAATTTTGAATCATCCCCAAAAAGTATACAGATCTTCAGATTAATATAACTAAGAAGTGTGTACAGTTTTAAGCAATAATCTTAAATCGTTTTTGAGATACGGCGCGAACTGTGTAAAAAACACCCCTGTTTTAGTTACAAAGTCCTGTAACTCAAAACGTTCACCAAAAAGTATACTTATCGTTTGACCATCATAAAAAACAACTATGTTAAGTTTAATGAAATTTGGATATTTGTGCTGTACCATGTTTAAGACAGACAGACAGACGCCGGACATTTGTATACCATAATTACGTTCCGTCAAAATTTTACGGGCGTAAATATTGTTAACTATTGCCTTTTGTTAGATAAAATACGTGCAACGTGGAAGAAATTGGAACTTTGTTCTTTTATTGGTTGTATCATTGTTAATATTAGCGGCAAACCATTATTTATTTTAGTAAATTGTTCAGTTAGGAAATTTACTTCTTCGTGTACCTAAATTTTCGGTATTAGTTTTAAAATATCATTGGTTTTCTGTGCTTTAATAAAATGTCAGAAAATCGGATTCGGACCAAATCATGGATGATGAATGATAATAAAAATGATAATTGACATGCATTATATTAGTAACACCAAAAGGGTCAGTCGTCTTGAGATTGCTCACTATACGATACTTTGTTGAAGATCTCACAGAAACAATAATGTGTTTTATTTCTTCTGATTTTATTAGACTGTTATCCTGTTAGAATCAAATGCACTAATATTAATGGTTTAGAAGTTAGCATGCGGGAGAAACAGAAATTGAAGCATCGAAAATCCACATTACGTTTCTTATTACGGAAAATTACATGCATTACGTCCCGCAAAAAGTGACGTTTTGCGGGTATTCAAACGCATAACGTCGCGCCAAGGGTTAACTCCCTTGAAACTGTATCGGATGTCCTTAAAGTTCAGAGAACGTAGCACTCTCTTTATAGTAATAAGTGTTATAAAGGAATAGAAAAGGACGAGTTTGAAAAATAAATAAGTTTGCTATAACGTAGCGAAATGTCCCCTACGCTGTTTAAACTTGGAATGAAATTGTGTGGACAGTATAGAATTGTAGAAGATGAACATATATTACATTAACAAGTGTATAACTTGTTTAATTGGTAGATAATGATGACATTGTGGTACAATAGTCGAAAAAATGGTCGAAGTCCCATTTCTCCCCAAAATTAATGGATTCATAATGACAGTACAGTATGGTCATTACACATGATGGCAAAAAATCCTACCAAGTATGAGATAATTCTGTCAGAGGAGTAGGGTTCACGAAGTGTCATGATGGTAGGATAGTAAAAATAATTCGTCACAGAACTCCAATAAAAATGCTCAGATAAAATTTACAGAAAAATGTAGTCAACTACATATGATGGCAAACGATCAAAGCAAGTATGAAAGCTTTGTGGCAAACATTATTAGAGAAGATGCATTCACAAGGCATCATTGTCGTAGGATAGCCCAAAACGTCAAAGCCCATAACTCTCGTAAAAATTATCAAATCAAAATTACTGTATTATATATGATAAATTGCATATGGTTGCATACAATTTACCAAGTACAAGAGCTTTCTGCCAAACGGTCTCAGAGGAGTTGCGTCCACAAGGTGGCAATGTGGTACATGCAATAGTCCAATTGTTGTCAAAGTTCCATATCTCCCATAAAAATTGTCAAATCAAAATGATGGTATAATATGGTCAATTACATATTGCTGTGAACTAACGATCGTGCATGACAAGTAGGGAAAATGTCTGTTATACGTACTCACAGGATTTGCGTTCACAAGCTGGCATTGTTAAAGTACTAAAACAAAATGGTCGCATTACAATAACGGTATAATATGGTCAACTACACGTGATGACAAACAATACTACAAAATATGACAGCTTTCAGTTGCGTTCACAATGTCTTATTGTATCAATGCTAAAAAAAAGTCAAAGTCCCATAACGCCCGTAAAAATGGTCAAATCAAAATGACGGTACATAATTTGGTCAACTAACTACACTTGATGGCTAGAACAATCCTACTAAGTATGAGATCTTTCTGTAAAAGTTCTAAGAGGAGTTGTGTTCACAAGATATAATTGCAAATCTACAAACAAAATTGTCAAAGTCACAGAACTTCTCTTTCGGATGGACCGTGGCGGACGGAGTTCATTATCATATCCCCCTTCGGCACGATGTGCGTGGGACAGAAAAGTAACCACCAATGTTTATGTTTTATTTGACACTGCAAATTGCATGGTGCTTTAAGTAAAATGGAATCGAGACATTGTGCTGTTTTCTTGATCCAAGATCGCCTAGATCTGTGATGATTCTCAACAACTGTTATTTTACAGAACTTTATCATAGGCAATTCATTTTCAATTTTTAAATTATGTTTGATCCAGTCCGGAAAGATACGACAGACATAGTTAGAAAGATACGACAGACATAGTTTTAATCGTATATTCAACCGATCATGTCAGCAGACATTCTCGTAAGATATAAAACATGTGAGCCCAGATGATTAGGTCATCTAAATTGATAAAACTTTATCACAATAACAATAAAAATAAGAATACGATTATATGTATCTCTAAAATCATATCGGCTTGACAAGTTGAAACTATACTAGTTCAAAATTTACAGCAGAAAATAATAATGTATATGTTCGTTTTTCTTTTAGCTGTTTTTGCTACATTCACTTCAGCGAAAGTTCTGAAGGTCGAGATACAAGACGAGGAGGCTAAAATAGTTCAATTTACCGTAAGTAAACATACATATGATTATTTTGTATGGGAATAGGAAAGTGGAAATTTCAAAAGGAGTTAGATTAATGGTGGGGGGGGGGGGGGGGATTTTTGTCTTAAGATATATTTCTGAACATCTGACAATGAAATCTCTGAATGTTATTTATTTAATTTCTTTTACAGATGAACAATGTTGAAAGTTTTACATGGAAGAACTGTGGGGGTCAAGGTGCAGGATTCACCGACCTTTCATTAACCCCTGATCCTCTTCAATTTCCAGGAACTATACACATCTCTGCAAAAGCGTACATCAATACTACTGTTCAAGCACCTTTGCCGGTAAGTGTTGCGTAATCCATAAAACATTGATCGCTGATATCCAGTACACGTGCGAGCATGTAATTTTGGACAACGACTAAGACAAATCTGGGAGTATAGTGAACCGTTGATATTTTAAACTTTTCCGTAAATTGAAACAGAACTATAAAAGTGAAAACGGAGACTTTAGTACTATTGCTTCAGTTTTGCTTTTTGCGTTCTCGTCACATGTATTTTTTTTAGATTTGAAGCAATTAAAAGAAATGGTTTTAGGTTATTATAGCAATAAATATCACAATTACTTTTTCAACATTCTGACAAAAAAATGAATGATAGGAACGAAACAGGCACATTCTGTAAGAAAACTGGGACACTAGTAACCGTGACGTCTCAATCATTCAAATTCTATGGAAGATATTCGAAAACCGTAGTGATATATAGTACATGTATTTATATTTCTTCTGTACTAAAGTAAATCTCGTACTTTTTAAAGCATCTTCAATTGTATTATTGCAGGCTACTCTTCTCATAGAAAAGGAGGTTGCAGGAAAATATATAAAGATTCCATGTATTGACAGTTTTGGTTCATGTACGTATGATGACGTATGTGAACTATTAGACGAAATTACTTGTCCAGACCCAATTGTTAAGGCTGGAATCCCTTGCCAATGTCCGTTTAAACCAGTAAGTGGTATATTGCATCAGTTTTTACTTGCAAGGAAGTTAACCCCTTTATTAAAAAACAAACAAACAAACAAACAAACCCAAACGAACAGAAATTTGTTTGTGTACAACTCTGGAGGTAACATTAGTTTAAGACAAAAGGCCATGACATAATTATATAAAAATATATTGCCATGGAGGTACGTCAAATGAATTCGAATAATTATTATATATACATTCCGAGACATATAATACGACTCTGATATATTAAACTTAAAAATAAGTATAAACGTACTTATTGATCTTTGATTGACCTTAATAATAAGCTGATTTAGCATTTTATTGTAATCACTATTGATAAAATATGAACTTTGTCAGTCTCTTTCGTACAGATAACCTATAATATTTGAATTTTATTAGGTCGATTAAGGACAGGAATCAGATATACGTCTATTCAGTTTTGTTGGAATATTTTGATTTAAAATTTAATCGAGATCGAATGTTTTCCTTTTCCCCTTCATTCTTTTTTTTGGGGGGGTAAAAAGGGGGGGGGTCGGGATTGCACTGAAAAGGAGTTAGGAAGACATATGTGTTGCAATTTGGAATGAGAGTAATATAACTTCTCCTGGGCGCTACAATCAACCTCTGGTTATCCTGTAATATGTTTTAACTGCATGTCAACAAGTAACGTTAATTGCAACTCTTGCTTGTAATAAAGCAACATGATTTTTCTAACATGTTACTTTAAAGGACTGTATAAAAGATGTGCATATGGGACATGTGTATTAAATATCTTAAAAAGCAGAAATTACTTTCTCGTCTGGAAAAATTGAGTTCACCCCATTCGTTTGGTAGAGTATGGTCAGTCATCTTCATTTTTAGTTAAGTTGTGTTGTGTGCTCTTTGTATGTTTGTTTTAATATCATTCCTAGCAGTGTTACTCATGATGTCAACTGAGTCTCCAGGTTTTCCATTCTTGGTTGATCAGCCATTTTTCTCTTCTTGATTAAGAGGCAAGTCCCTGTGTTTTTTTCTTTTTGTGTGTTTTTTTTTCCTGGCTGGCTGGTAGGTTTTTTAAAAATTTACGATTGAAGCAAAACAAAGAAAAAACCAGACACGGCCTTAAGTCTGGTGCCCCAAAAGGATAATAGCCGAATCGTGAAATATCGAATGTGAATATAATAAATAATTTTATTGTTTATCGTTCTAGGCTCAGTATACTTTACCAACAGCAGATTTTGACGTTGATACGTCATTTTTCCCGTCTGGTGGTTATCACATAAAGGGGAGCATCAGTATGAATGGTCAAATGACAGGATGCTTGGATATCTACGCTACAGTAGCATAGGTCTGCGTAAGACAAGTTAATTGATTGAAAACGGCATATATACGATAACTTCATGTAGTGTATTAATGTCGAAAATCATGCTTCTTTAAAGTTTTTACAGGGCGGACATAACATAATCTGATTAAAATTGAGATCTATCGCAACTCGCGTGCTCGTCGAAGGAGCATAACGAAATTAGAGATCTATATTTTGATTAGATTGGACATAACATTTATTATTATTATACCTTACATATATTTCAAGCAATTCTATTGGGTTAAACGTTATCACGTGACATGGAATAATTCAGTTAATTTTCATTCAATTCCAAGGAAGAACGAATAACCCTAAAAATTTACACCAGCGTTGAATAACCCTATTATTCACCGGCGAATAACCTTTTTAGTTTGTTGATTTGTACTCATGAAAATGACGTCACAGACGTAAATAAAGAGGGTGGTAAAGAGTTATTTTCGTGCAACGTGATCGCCGTTTTTTATTTCACGTTCAACGTGTTTTTACTTTTTTATTTAACGTTCAGTCGTGCAAGACAGGTGCCTCGTTCAACGTGTTCTGCTTATTTAATTTTACGTGCATCGTGATTTTCAAATGCTTATTTTGCGTGCTCTGTATTTTTCAAATAAAATTCAAATACTTGGCAGGGATCGTCAAGAAATACTTTTTTAAAAGCCGTAAACCATTTACATCATAAATGTGTATACTAAATCGGGAATAACAAGTAAAACAGAGAGTTTATATGGGAGCGTTTTTTTACCACAGAACACCACAGAATACCACAGAACACCCAAAATTTACCACAGAACTTCGAAATAATAATACTTCAGACATTATTATCATGTTATTGTTCATTCTTTTTATAATTTGACATTTATTATTCAAATAAATTTAATTTTTCTATTTAGGGTCGACTCACTAACGCTACTCCCCCAACTGAATGGCCAATATAAATTGGGATTATACCGAAAACCGCATGCTATTAAAACCATAATATATTTATATTTGTGACATTTATATTTTAAATACGTTTTAATCTTTTTTGTAATTTTAATTCATTTTTGAAAATGTTTAGATGCATTACGTAATTATTTGTTAAATTTATTTTGTTTTAGCAGGTATTTTTTTTTGTCACTTTTTATGAATTCTATGTTAAGAGTTTTTACAATAAATAATCAAAATGGTTAATGTGACATTTTATTGAAGTTGTTGTCAACAAATAATTAAACTTTATTAAAGTGATTAATGAAGTAATTTGTTAAGCTGATATCTAGAGTTGTTAAAACAATTGGCTAATGTTTGTACATCAAAGTTTTCTCCATTTTATAGAGTTATATATAAAACTTCAAAAAGATATCTAAAGTTGTTGTAGGACAGTAATAATTGAGTTGACTTATAACATATTATAAGTGTGTCTTTTTAATTGTCAATTAAAAGTTCAAGCTCGATGACTGTTTTTGGAATCTTATGTTGTGTTGTATCTTCTCCAATCATTTAACAATATTTCGGATTTTTACCATATTTTGTATGCATTTAGAAATTGTTGAACTGAAACTTTATATCGAAAAAAAAACTGGTATATGTAATTTTTTTTTAAATATGGTTGAAGTAGAAAAAAGAATAGGAAAAAAAATATGACATTCCATTTTCAAAAGTAGTTTCCAGTATTAAATAAATTCTTGTTATAATTAAAGTACCGAAATTTTATTAGATTAACCAATTTTGACACTTTTGTAATCACCAATCAAGCCAATTAACATGTCATTTAAACTATCACACCTGAGACATCAAATACATTTAATTGAATTACCTTATATAATCAGGTGGCAACTAGAATCCAAACATTGAAGAATTTTGTAAATGATATTCAATTATTAATGATATATATATTATATTAAATAGAATGTTGAAAGCAGTCTTCCTGTTCTAGTTATTGTGAAGTCATTTCAAGAATACAATTTTTATGATAATATAATTCAAGATTAAAATGTGAACCGATGATCACCATCATTTTAGTTGAAAAATTAAGATTATTGTCTTATAGGTTTATTAATTTCACAGAATAAATAGTTACATATGAGAAATATTAACTCTTTCTTAATTTCATGAAAAAATATTTTAAAACAAAAGACGGATATTAACACTTTTTATCGATCAGTTCAATACATTCAAAGCGTATATTGATCAGCGACTGAGAAAACCGTACTGTAATTTTTTTTTGCTAAAAACTATTTTTTTAAATGTTTATTTTAGATTTTCATTATTACAATGCATTAGTTTAGTGTCTCAAAGGTCTCCAAATGTAAACAAAATATGCCAAATAACAAGAAAGTTATGATAATTTTTATCTCATCCAGTCAATCATCATCAGTGTCATTGGTGTAACCCGAATTAAAGAAATAATATATACTAGTAACTCTAAATTATTAGATTTTCGTTTTATAAAGTAATTTTACTGTTCTGTGGCATATTTCAGTAGTTTTGTTGTAATTTGTGTAGTTCTGTGGTACATTTTGAGTGTTCTGTGGTATTCTGTGGTGTTCTGTGGTATTCTGTGGTGTTCTGTGGTAAAAAGACGCTCCGAGTTTATATATACAAAAAGACAGTGACTCAGCCTCACAAAAGGTTCACAAAAGTCTTTATTTTTCGTGCAACGTTCATGACAGAAATTATTTCACGTTCAACGTGAAATGATGTCTTATTTCACGTTTTTTCCGTGCAAGCACCCCCCCCCCCCCCCCTTTACCACCCTCAATAAACAAAATGGCAACGTTCAAGTTACAGGAAGCCCATTGATCGAGAGAAGAGGAAATAAGGCTTTTGACGTGCATCTTGTGCCGATGATATCTCTAATAACGGTCCTTTTCAGGGCCATCAATATTTTACAAAAAGAATCTACCTTTGTTGTACATACGAGAATTCTAAGACACAAATTACATGTATTTTTGAACGTCAACTTGTGTTTGTTACTAAGGGTAAGTGCTTTTACAATGATTCAAAATGCCCTTCCACTGTTAGTTCGGTATAATAAAACAATTGTGGCCCCTTAGAAGCGATGAATATCCAAAATTGTCAACCCTTAAAAGTTATTTCACTTCGGGCTGCGCCCTCAGTGAAATAACCTTCTCGTGTTGACAATTTTGGATATTCACCTTTTCAACGGGCCATAATTGTATATTGTAACAACGCAATAATCCCCATATAACGTCATTTACAATTTAGCGTGTTATAAACACCGGCATTTCCCTTGTGAATAGGTGGTCAAACGTGTTGTTTTTGTTATTTTAAAAGTTTTGAAATTCAAAGAAAGATTATTATATGAATAGACCAATAAAAAGAAAAGTAACTGCATCTGCTTGCCAAAACAACAATATTATATTCAGGACAACACTGACCAATTTAAAGTACAATAACCATGTATTATTAGATATACATATAATCCTATTTTTAATGATCCTAAAGGTTCACTTCAGTTTAGGACTATTACACTATTACTATACCTAGTATAATAGTCCCAGCTTCAATACGTTTCTTAATTATGTTTTAATGTTCGTGTTGGTCAGTCTTTAGTTTTCAGTATTGTTTGTCTTTTGATAGTTTTTCGTAAATACGTCACTCCAACAATGGTCCTAGATGTTAACCAAACCAAAAATCGCAAGCTAAAGCATCTTTACACTTTCATATTTCTGTTCAACACAAAGTGTATGAAAAGAAAATGTTTTCATTTTCCTGAGAGCTGCAGTACTCATATTATAACAAATACACTTACTTGTCTTATTTTCATCAGTTAAAGTATGACATTTGAAATATTGTTTCTTTCAGATTTTGATGGAAGCTCTTTAACAAAGTATATACCAGAAGAAATAGTCCGTGTTCAGTCAAATCATGTAGTAAAATTGCCACATCTATTTAACAAACTATTCACTTGAATTTGTCTTTGACATTGCATTATAATTTTTTAATTGTATTGTGCATACGTATATTTACATGCTCAATTTTATAAATGTATATGATTTATCAATATACTCATGTTTTGTACTTACACATATGTATATATTCAATGTTATTTCAGTTGTGATAAATCTAAGTAGTTTTTGACTTGTTCTTCTGTTGACCTGTCACAGTTTTTAGGACTCCAAAGACATGTAACCCTACCCGGACACATTATTCTTATTGAGTCTATAATTCTTTCATCTGTCTCCTTAATGAGAGTGCTCAGTTGAGAAGTACCAGATACCAATTTTCAAGTCCTTGGTATTGATTGTGCCGTTTTATACACGATTTTAATCATTTATTTTTTTGTCAAATACTATTTTTATACTTAATCGTTGTTTGGTAATGCAGTTTGCCATTATCAAGCTTTGCAGCAAATTACCACAAGCTCAAAAGCACAACAGTTCCTTCCTTTTTTCTAGAAGAGCAGTATTCTAGAGGTAGCAAAATATTCCTTCGGTGTTAAAATGAATATGTGAATGTCGGAAAGTTTTAACAGTTTCTAATTAAAAAAATTTATTGCACCACGGCATAATATTAATTTAGCATTTATTAACAGGTGAGCTCGGTGTGATTTCTTTTTGACACCTTAAATCAGGGACAGCCTATAGTTAGAATACACTGTTCCTGCTTAAATATATATACGACAAAAATTAGCTTATCAATGATACATGATAGATTATACCTGCAAATTGGATATCCCATACCGATGTTTATTATAACACCCTTTTATTTAGACAAAATACTACATCTGTTCACGTACTTCTTCCTTTATACTTTTCTATACCAGTCATATTCCTAAATTGAAAAGTTATTTTTTTTAACTTTTTGCATTACCTAAAATCTTTTTAAAAACTCGTATAATGTCAGATTTCATCTATTAATTGATCTTAATTGTTGCATACCTTCGTGAAATATCAAGAGGAGGTACAAGAAAAAAAATGTTTTTTTCAGAAGTAACTTTGTTTAAGGTTGTATTTTTTGTTTATTTCATTTAAGGAATTGTATATCTAAATAGACAATTCCTTGTTTCATTTCATGATTAAATGACCAAGTTCGAAAACTACTGCCAGATAAGTAATGAGCCAGTTAGAGCGACGGGATGTAATTAACACACCACCCAAGTCAGAGATGCATCATACAATTTTCTTTGAAGTCGGCCGCGTTTCCATTCCTTTTAAATATACAATTCCTTGGTATGACCCATCTGTGACTCCCACAACCTCCTATCATGGAGGCTAGCAAGCTACCACTAGACTACAAAGGTTACTTGGTAAGATTGAGGGTCTGGATGGGGGATCCTCCAATGCTGTATTCTTTAATTTTTAAAGACATTTTTTTCTGTTCTTTATAAATTTAGCCCAATATTCTCTATTCCTTATATTCAAGCACCTCATTATTCTTGATTCTATATTTTTTGGGGCTTATTTTCCTGATTCTTTTTTTTTTTTTTTTTGCTAATTTTTCTGTAGTATTGGCCCATTATTCTCTATTCTGCAAACTGCAGACCATCATGATTGATTTTGATTAATTACATCTAGGCCCATACCACTGTCAGCAAATTATTAATTCTTTCCTAGGGTATCATTTAACCTAGTATACAACAGGTTTTTTGGCCTCTAGGCTGACGGCTGATGGCAATGATGGTAAAAAAAATTTATTCATTTTTATTGGGTTTTTTTTTTTTTTTGGTCTTAGGGTACAACCAGCAGGATTTTTTTTGCGGCATAATATAATGGAATATTTAGAAGGCATCTAATCAGATGTTAATACAAGAGGCTCTCAAGAGCCTGAATCGCTCACTTGTATTCCAGAGGAGAAGATTTTTAAATGTTAGCAAACTTGATGAATAAATTGTGTAAAATTGTCTTTAAAGGGCAATAACTCCTAAAGGGGTCAATTGACAATTTTGGTCATATTAACTTTTTTGTAGATCTTACTTTGCTGAACATTATTGCTGCTTACAGTTTAAATATATCTATAATAATATTCAAAATAATAACAAAAAACTGCAAAATTTTGATTAAACTACCAATTCGGTGGCAGCAACCCAACAATGAGTTGTTCGATTCGTCTGATAATTTCAGGGCCGATAGATCTTGACCAATTAAACAATTTTACCCCCTGTCACATTTGCTCTAAAAGATTTAGTTTTTGAGATGTAAGCCAAAAACTGCATTTGACCCTTATGTTCTATTTTTAGCCATGGCGGCCATGTTTGTCGATGGATACAAACTTCGGATACAATTTATAAACAAGATACCCTAAGGAACATTTAGTTAAAGTTTGAAGGTAATTGGCCCAGTTGTTTCAGAGAAGATTTTAAAATAGTTTACGACGACAGACGACGACGACGACAGACGACGGACGACGACGGACCCCAAGTGATGGCATCAGCTCACATGGGGCCCTTCGGGCCCCGGTGAACTAATAACAAAAAACTGCAAAATTTTGTTAAAACTACCAATTCGGTGGCAGCAACCCAACAATGGGTTGTTCGGTTCGTCTGAAATTTCAGCGCTGATAGATCTTGACCAATTGACCAATTTTACCCCCATGTCAGATTTGCTCTAAAAGCTTTAGTTTTTGAGATATAAGCCAAAAACTGCATTTGACCCCTATGTTCTATTTTTAGCCATGGCGGCCATGTTTGTCGATGGATCAAAACTTCGGATACAAATTATAAACTAGATACCCTAAGGAACATTTAGTTAAAGTTTGAAGGTATTTGGCCAAGTAGTTTCAGAGGAGAAGATTTTTGAAATAGTTTACAACGACAGATGACGACAGACGACAACAACGACGACAGACGATGGACAACGACGGACGCCAAGTGATGGCATAAGCTCACATGGGGCCCTTCAGGCCCCGGTGAGCTAAAAATGGCTCTGTAGAAAAATTTGCATGGGGATATCCTTATAGGTATATGAATATTGCCAGAGATATGACTCTTAAAAGTCCAATAACTCCATAACCATCAAACCAGAAAACTTTCAGAATCAAAAGCAAGCCTTCATCAACCAATCCCAACAACAGTGTGAAAGTTTGTAGTAATTTGATCCAAGCATACTAGACCTAGTGTGTGACATGTAAAATATTGCTGTTAATCTGATGATTAAAGACCCTCTGGAATGACAATTGGGAACATTTTTTAAGGTAGCACAATACAAAGATTTTATACCTCCTATTCCCCAGTTTTAAAATGCTGTAACTTTCTTTATAATGCTTGAAAGTTTGTAAAATTGGTATTTATGGATAGCTAACAGATTACTCTTTCAAATCAATGCAATGTTAGTATTATACAACAATTATGTAATTAATTATAATGTTAACTGTGTCTACAAAATTTTACAAGAAATTTCCACTTTCAATTGAAATTAGCTTCTTCCTGGTTATCCCGAGAGGGTTGATTTTATTATATGTTGTTCCTAGGGCCATTATCTACAAAAGGGTGTCTCAGATTTTGGATAGAATGTATAGATCAAATTTTACACCTAATCAAATATTATCTACTTTTATGTGGTAAGGATGTTTACACTAATTAGAGATTTATGAGAGAATGGAATATGATAGCGATAATTTGAGACACCCTTTTGTAGCTCCTGCTGTGTTGATTAAGATTTCGTTTAAATTTCCTGTATAGTTATAGAGATGAAAGAGCTAAATTCATTCAAGTGAACTGACCAAGATTTTGCCATTAATTGCATAATAATTGATTACATAATGATTGCATAACAAAAATATTGCCTTCATTTAAAAGTTTAATCTTTTATCTATCTATATATACCTCTTTTATTAATTTATATGCAGTCTTAAGAAAGTAACAGCATTTTAAAGGTTGGAGATCGGAAGTAAACAAATCTTTGTATTGTGCTACCTTAAATCAATACACTTCTTACTTTTACCAATTCCAGCAATTGTGTAAAGTTTCCAGTTATTCCATACAAACATACTCAAGTTATGGTAAAATATGTGAAAAATTTACTTAAATCTGACAGTTAAAGTCCTGTAACTCTAAAAAGACCAACTTTTGAAAATATTCTATATTCTTTATTAGGGGACGACCATTTGATATTCTGGGGGGGGCCAGGAGGATTTGTTTTGGATCGGTTATTTATTTTTGTAAACTAAGAGGACAGATTGTCTATTTTCTGCACTATTGAAGCAAGATTTTTCATTTTCATTAAAGCAAGGGACTGATTATTTATTTTCACAACTATATTTATAATATTCGAAATACAATTTTTAAATTATTTGTTTATTATAAATAATTCATGTATAGTCAAGTCATTATGTACCATTTAATCAGAAATAATTAGTATCCTCTGCAGAAACGAATATTCTATATCCCCCAATGCATATACCTGTATTGCATACATACACAGTATCAAAGTTTGGTTGTAACTAAGGCTCTTTTTAAAAGTATTGGCAAACAAGTTTCGCCGAGCGGAGCGAGGCAAATTTTTTTTTAAGGGTTTTTGAACCGCTGAAGGCCCAAGAAGCTATAGAACAAATGATGCAAAATCATGCCTTCTGGGTGTTCCCCAGACCCTTTCTTAAACTGAAAATGCAAGTTCTGTTTTAATAATTTTATGACAATATTTTGGTCTCAAAGCAAAATCACGTTATAGATTCAGTGTAAGACTTAAGTTTCTAGGAACAACATCAAAAGACAAATATGCATGATAAAGCAAAAATGTAATTCACATAGTTAAGTCTGTGGCTGCTGTGTTTTTTTAAACTCATGATCAAGTTAGTAATAAAATTACTAAATTACAAAATGAATGCAACACTAACAGAATACAGAAGGGCAATCAATGAACAAAAGACAAATAAATAAGAAACATTGATCCCGAAAAATCAGGGGCTACGTCTGAGGGAGAACAGAACTTGCTTCTTGCAAGGCTCTCACAGTGAACATAATTTGATATGGAGACAAGCGTTTGGTTTTGAAATTTCCTACATGAGGCATTTGTCTCAAAGTAGTTACGGCCCTGATTTAATAAAAGTGAGGTAAGTGTTCCTGAGACAATAAACCTCAAGTTAAATGAAACCAATTTTCTGACATTTCAAGTATATTTAAATAATATTTATACTTTTAT